AGGTGCGACTGTACGAGGTGCTGTTCAACGCGGAGAGCCCCGAGTCCCTGGGCGATGACTGGCTGGGCGACATCAACGCGGGCAGCCTGCAGGTGCTCAGGGGCGCCGTCATCACGCCTGAGCTGGCGGCAGCCAAGGTGAGAGGCGGTGACGCACGCTTGGGGCGTAGCCGTGGCGCAGGGGCAGGGGGTGTTGGCCGGGGAGGGCAGCGTGGCAGTGAGGGAGGCGGATTGGGCGACTGAGATACCGTATAGCAGCGGCAGAGCAGTCGCATCTCTTGAGTCTGAATTCGGAGGGGTTGCCCCCAGCTTTGAGGGCCAGTGCCGCGGTGTGCGGAAACTTGAGCCTGCATTCGCCACCTTGCAGTCCCAACCTCATTCTGCATACATTGGTCCCGCCTCAATACCCAGCCCAATACCCAGCCTCAATTCCTGCGACTGTCCCCTCCATCCCCCCGCCCTCATGACGCTGATGCTGCCCGGCCCCAGGCTTTTGACCGCTTCCAGTTCGAGCGGCTGGGCTACTTCTGCGCCGACCCCGACAGCCGGCCGGGGGCGCTGGTCTTCAACCGCACGGTCACGCTGCGCGACTCCTTCCCGCGCGACAAGGAGCAGCAGCAGGGCAGGGGCCGGTGAGAGGCCGGGCGGCGGGGCCGGCGCCACGGGCGGGGCGGCGGCAGGAGAGGCGAGAAATGGCAGCACGCCTTCTTGGCGTGCTTTTCCCACCTGCCAGCCACACCGCGGACCAGCCATGGATTCTCTGCGGCTTCTCCCCTCGTCCTTGGCGCCGGCACCGCCCGTCATCCCCCTGCGTCCTCGCTCAGCGGTGCCGCGGCACCTAGGCAGCCTCAACCTCAGCATGGATATGACAACGCGTCTTTTTACAACCAACACACGCAATTCTGTTGTTTCCTGGAAGGTAGCTCCGCGCGTTCTGCGCTGCGTGCCCAGTGGCGCGTGCGTGTCTCAGCACGCGCAACCGGTCAGCTGGTGCTCATGGTACCAAGGAGGGCGGCGCGGGCCCGGCTGACGGGGCACCCTCGAGCACCGCTTCCGCCACCGATGCTTTTAAACAAGAGGAACGGGGCCGCACGCAGTGTGGTGCGCGCTGTTGTAAACCTAAAACATACCTAGCAGTTGGCTAGGGAGGGGCGCTCATCTCAGCCGCCAGCATGGTCTGCCCTAGCAAGCATGAGCAGACCACAGCTGGCAGCCAGGCAGCCGCATGAAGGGGGCCGGGCACGAAAAGGCACGCATGCGTAGAGTGAATTGGCACAGGTGGCCAGGACGGCGCGCACGCGGCGCTTACTCAGCACCAGAGGTGCGCCGCCAAACCCGCACAGACGGGGTGGTTGTCATCTCATTTGCCGGCCAGCGCAGCAGGTGATGTCATTGCGGGGTGACGCAAGAGGCTGCCAGCACCACGAGCTGCGGCAGCGCGAGCCAACACGGGCCCTGCGCACAGGTGCGCCACTGCGCCATCACGGCCACTTTGAACTGGTGTCGTGAGCGCATCGCTGCGGCTCAGAGGGGCGGGCACCAAGGACCTGAGCCGCCACCGAGCGCCAAGCGGCGCGACAGACTGGCGGCCCCGCGCGCCCTGCATCTGGTCGCATACGCACCGCCGCACCCCGTCGCGCCGACGTTCCGCCCCGCCCTGCCGTGGCGTCCGCGGCGCGTCACTGGCACTTCATGTTGAAGGTGGTGGCGCGCGTGACCTTGTCCACGGTGGAGCTCTGCCACAGGCCGCCGTAGGCGCCGTTGCCGCAGGGTGCCACCTCCTTGGTCCACGGCCCCTGGCCGGCCGCAAACGTGGACGAGGGGCCCTTGGCCAGCGAGAAGCCGTACGGCAGCTTCTCAAACGTGGCGGTGCAGGACAGCGCGGGCGCGACGCCGCCGTTGTTGTTGACGCAGTCGGGGTTGATGGTCACCACCACGCCGGGGGGGAACTGGCGCGTGCCCTGCTGCTTCATGGGCGTCGCGCAGAACGTCACGGGCTGCGGTTGGTGCGTTGAGGGCGAGGTGTGGCGGTTGTGGGGCGGGACAGCTGCAGTGAGTGGAAAACGTTTCTGTTTGGGGCGCAGGGCATGGCGCTAAGGCTGTACAAGCAGCCACCACTGCTGCAATCCCCGCCCTGGTTGAGCTGCACCGAACAACTCTAGCAAATTGCTCCTCAGCATCCCCCCACGCCACACCACACCATCCTACCCCACCTCACACCACCCCACGTCATCAAGTCGCGCCCTGGTCGCAGCATGCAGCAGCCGCCTCTGCCACTCTCGGTACACCCAACCCCCACCCACACACCCACACACCTTGTTGTCAGTCTTGCGGATCATGACGACACAGCAGCTGCCCTTGACGCCATTGATCTCCGCGATCGCCGTCGTGTGCTTCGGGCACGCCGTCACGCGCTGCTTCACGGCACAGCAGTTGCCGTTGGCGCAGCTGCTGCTGCTCGTGTCCACCACATTGCGGCAGGGGGACGCGCCCGGCGCGGCGGCGGTGGGGCCGCTGCCGCCCGATGAGGACGAGGACGAGGCCGCGGATGCGCTGGCGGTGTAGGGGCCGGCCACGGCGCCCATGATGCCCGGCGGCGCAAAGCCAGGGGGCATGAAGGCGGCGGGGGGGAGAACACCGATAGGTGCCGCCATGCCTGCGCCCGCGTTGGACGAGGCGCTGGCACTGGCGCCGCCGCCAGCGTTGCTGCCGCTGCCGCTGGCGGCGGCGCGGGCGCCGCTGGTGCCCTGCTTGGTGGGCACAGCGCCGCCATTCGAGGTGGCCGAGGTGGTGGAGGACGAGTAGGGTACGGGCGCCTGCTGCTGGGAGGTGGGCACACCCATGGCAGAGTACAGCACGGGTGCCGCCGCGGCGGCACCCGAATTGGCGCCGGCGGATGCCTGTGAGGAACCGCCAGTGGGCGAAGAGGCTGACAGCGTGCGCGCAGCTGCCGTGGCAGGGGCCGTCGCCCACGTGCCGCCCGTGGCGCGTGCCGGCGCCAGGGCAGCGGCGGCGCAGAGCGCCAGCAGCAGCGCGGCGGCGGCGGCGGCGCGTCGCGGGCGCGCTTGGGAGCGCATGGTGGTGTGGGGGCTGGTGCTCGACGGACTCTGGGGGTAGACAGGGGGTACAAGGGGCACAATGATATTGTCACAACGCTTCCAGGGCAAAATGGCTGCCAGTGAGACGCGTTGAAATGCCGCGCAATCACCTTCCTCTGCTCGGCAAAGCAGCTTCCTACTGCCAGTGGCGCCGGGCGCCGCCGACCGATGCACACCCCGCCCCCCTCAGAGCCCCGCTGCGGCACAGCCTGCGCCACTAAGATGATACTGCGCTGTAATTCCTCGATCGTGGGCCCGCTCACCCGCTTTGGTCGGCCTGGTGAGGTGGCAGCAACAACGAGTGAGAGCACCACGGTCTTGACGGCGTGCGTATGATATTATTGAGACAGCAATCAAAATAAAACTGTGAGACTGCGTGAAGTTTATGCCTGGTTGCTTCTTACGCCGTGTGCTGTTGTCTTTTGCGCGGCCACAACACACCCGGACGGAGCCAGTGACCCGCTGCGAAGCTGAATTGTTGTGTGCCACTTTTGGCGGCCTTTCGTATCAAAACAAGCAGCTGATTATACGCGAGACGTCCGGCACAACCACACGCAGGACTTCTGTAACAAAGTAGCACGCCTCGCTCATCAGCTCACACCAGAAGCACCCGCTGGCCCGCCCCTGATGATCCCACCCTGTACAGCTGGTGGTTGCTGATCACTGCCACACCGCTTGCCATCAAACTCTCACTCAATGACACAGCTACCCAAACAAGTGCAGCCTACGTGGCCTTGTGTGCTGATTGCTGGAGTGCATCTAAGATCATTGCTGGGCCTCATGCTGCATGGATTGCAAGAGACGGCGCTGTTGTATGGTTACGTACATGACCGCTGCCATGACAGTTGATTTATAGCCGTAGATGCCATAGCGTTCATGCCGTAGGGCGCGGTAGAGAGCAGGCCCGTTTGACCAACTCTGATACAACACTGTGCTCGGGGGCCTCAGGTGCGCCGACAATCCTCGCAGCTGGCTCCTCACCTCATCACCACCCCATTTGGCCCAGGGTTTTGTCTTCTTGATGAAACCTGCGTCCCAAACGCCAGCCGGACTAGCGTGATTGACCGCGGGCACCAGCGTGTCGTTGCTGAAGAGTCTGGTTCTCGAGCCATAGTACTCAGGTACTGTTGTTGAGTGTCGAACTATTCATGATGTGAAGGACAGCCATGAAATTATAAATTTGTTATCCCAAGCTTCAGCAGGCATGCGTGTAACACTCTTGCAACGTGTGCCCTTGATCAATGCACGCATGCACACGTGCCTGTACCATGTGCACACGCGGGAGTGCACGCACACCTGCGGTCGTGCACACGGCGTGTAAGATAGTTGTCTGGCATTGGACACAGCTGTCACCGGGGTTGATCTGAGTTCGAAGGTGGCTGTGCGATTCCGCAACAGCCCCGCACACCATCAGTTCTGCACCCTGCAAATTTGCGGAAGCTCTTGGTGCCTTGCCGAAACTTCCATCGAGTTTAAAATTGCTGGTAGAGAAATCATGCAGCCGCAGTGAGATTTCACACCCCATACTCTCACTGCGATTGTCTGGATTAGCGCGGGTGACTCCATACTTCAGGACTTCACCCGAGGCCAACTGACAATTGCCATGTCAGCCGGCACAGAGGCGGCTCGGGCAGGTGGTCAAAGGCTGCTCACTTGTAGTGAATCTCGACAATTTCGTGAATTTGGACTCCTGAAATGCCCATCGCACGCACACATGCGGAAAGCTTTCGTACCGTAGACGGAAGCTGTACGGTTGGGTCACAGATCGGCTCGAAAGCGTGATGTGTGCCGATACTAGGCATTTACTGAACTCGATACACCTGCGCGATTGCAAGATCCAGCAGCACAAATTACGATGGCTCTCGCCTCGAAGACCGCGGCTGGGTGTGCTGGATCGGCCCGCCTGGCAGCTCCCCGTGTGGGAACCAGCGTGCATGTCGGCGTGTCTCGCACTACTGTGGCGAGCTTTGCCTCGCCCAGCGGCGTTATCGGCCGCGCTGCGGCATTGCGCCAGGTACGACCGTTGATGCTCTGGGTGGAGCAACATGCGCAGCCAGCTGCAATGATGCATGGCTTGCTGCTGGCAGTGGGGTCACAGAAACGACGGGGCCTGCTGAACGGATTGCGCTAGGCTCGAGCGCATCGCGTAGTGTTCGCCGCCATGCCGGCTAGCTGTGCCGCCTGGCCCGCCACCCTGCTGACCGGGATTGGTGCGATCACAGCAAGAGCGCCCACCCCAACCCTTGATGTTCGCAGGTCGTCGCCGCCGCCACTGCTTCGGTGAGCGCCCCCGCTGCGCCCTCAACCAGCGCCAAGGCCACCGAGCAGAAGCCCACCGTCATCATCACCGGCGCCTCCAGCGGCCTCGGCCTCAACGCGGCCGCAGCCCTGGCCAAGAGCGGCGACTGGTGGGCTTCTGCGAATTCAGCACGCCTCGCAGCTCGGCTCACACAGGCGCACAACGCCTAACGCGCCTGGAGCTCGCCCGGCATGTCGGCTTTGCACGGGCACCGCGGCTGACTGCTCATCCCCCATCCAAGCTCACACTGCAGCTTGGCCAGTGCCCGGCCGTCACCTGAGATAGGCCCGGCCTCCATCGTCTCCCTTCAGGGACACCGGCCAATGTGCCCTGCATCCCCCTCACCGCCCCTCTGCCACCTCGACCCCCCCCCAGGCACGTGGTCATGGCGTGCCGCGACTTCAGCAAGGCTGTGTCTGCGGCTAAGCGCCTGGGCTTCCCCTCCGGCTCCTACACCGTGATGCACCTCGACCTCGCCAGCCTCGACAGCGTGCGCCAGTTCGTGGACGCCTTCCGTGCCAGCGGCCGCCGCATCGACTCCCTCGTGTGCAACGCTGCTGTCTACCTGCCGACCGCCAAGGAGCCGCGCTTCACTGCCGACGGCTTTGAGGTGTCTGTGGGCACCAACCACCTGGGCCACTTCCTGCTGGCCAACCTGCTGCTCCAGGACCTGGAGGCCTCGCCCTCGGCCAAGTGAGCCCGCCCGCCATGCTGAGGGTTGGGGTTGACGAGCCCTTGCTCAAGGGGTTTGAGCTTCGCGGCGCTAGGCTGGCCGGTGCTTCTGACTGACTGGGGCGTAGCCGCGTTGCGCCGCTCCTCCCGACGCCTGGTCCACAGATGCCCGGCACAGCCAGTGCCGCGCACGCACCCCAGTGACGTGGTACCCCCTTTGTTCCGCCTCCCCCCCCCCCATGGAACAGCCCCCGCATGGTGATCGTGGGGTCCATCACGGGCAACACCAACACCATGGCGGGCAACGTGCCGCCCAAGGCCGACCTGGGTGACCTGTCTGGTCTGCAGGACGGCGCCGTCATGATTGACGGCAAGGAGTTTGACGGTGCCAAGGCCTACAAGGACTCCAAGGTGGGGGGGGGGCTGGCGCTGGGGAGAAAACGGTTGCCAAGGAGGGCGGGGGGACGGAGGAAGGTGGAGGGAAGGGCTTGCTACAGGGCGGCAGCCGCGCACTCGGCTTCCGGGTATCGTCCAAGCGGTGTAGCTGTGAGCGGGCATAAAGATGTCCGATGCAGGCAGGGGCCAGGAAGATGGCTGTGCACGGCATGCGCGTGGCAGAACCTGCGGCACCGGCTGACACCCCGCCAAACGTCCCTGTGCTCCCCTGCCCCCAGGTCTGCAACATGCTCACCATGCGCGAGTTCACGCGGCGCTACGCCGGCAAGAGCAAGGTCCAGTTTGCGTCGCTCTACCCCGGCTGCATCGCCGAGACTGGCCTCTTCCGCGAGCACTACGGCGCATTCAAGTGAGCGCCGCCAGCAGCAGGCCCCTCTGGAGCCCCTGCAACAGTCGCGCCTGCACTCACAGCATCGCGCCGCCCTGTGACTCACGGTCTGACCGAGCGCCACCCTGCACGTCACAACCTGGGGTGTGTCAGGCCCCTCTGCCGCGCCGCACTGGGCATTGCTTGGGCCCTACCGCAGCACTCTCCTGACAACAGTGCACTCTCCTCCCCCAAC